AAAAGAAACAAAGAGAAAAAAAAAAGAAGAAGAAGAAGCGAACGATCAGTAGAACGAACGATCGGTTCCGCCATTGCGGAAACGCGAGCCACCGATGGAAAGTAGACCACCGGGTCCGCGGAATTCCCCAAGTTCCTCGAACACGTCGGCTTTAACGTTTCAACTGGCTGGCAGCTTGAAATGACCCAATTCAGAATTTTCATTTGATAATTATTGAAATTTCTAAGGATAAATTGACCCATTTCGGAATTTTTGTTTCATAGTTGTTATGGCCGTTGAAGCCGAGACGACCTGTCCCCGGAACTTTTGTTTCGCAATTGTTCGAATTATGAACGTAGAATGACCCATTTGGGAATTTTGATTCTACGATTGTCGGAAACGCGAAGGTACAGTTATTTCGAAAGCTTTGTTTTAGTTGTTTGTATCGCAAAGATCGGGCGAGCTGTTGCAGGAGTTTTGTTATAATTGTTGGGATTATAGAGATCAAGTGACCTATTTTAGAATTTTTATGTTACAGTTATTCAAATTATAGAGATGAAGTGACCTATTGCAGAATCTTTGTATCGCAATTATTAAAATTATAAGGATCAAGTGACCTATTTCAGAATTTTTATATTACAATTACTCAAATTATAAAGATTAAGTGACCTATTTCAGAATTTTTATGTTACAATTATTAAAATTATAAAGATCAATTGACCTATTTCAGAATTTTTGTACTACAATTACTAAAATTATAAAGATTAAGTGACCTATTTCAGAATTTTTATATTACAATTATTCAAATTATAAAAATAAAGTGACCTATTTCAGAATTTTTATATCACAATTATTAAAATTATAAGGATCAAATGACCTATTTCAGAATTATTATATCACAGTTACTGAAATTATAAAAATCAAGTGAGCCATTTCGGAATTTCTACATTATAATCACTAAAGTTACAAAGCATTGAGAGGTTCCAAAAAAATGAATTCCCGCGTGTTTAAATATAACGATAAGAGTAGCTCGAAATTTCGAGAGATCCAGGTGCTCGCCTAATTTCCATGAGTAATTCTAAATTCCCGTTCCCCCTTTGACTCTAATTACCCGGTAGTGCTAGCGTCGAACTCTTCCTCCCTTCCGGCTGAACGATAGAGCATAAAAAATGTTCCATCGCGCCCCTAGGAACTAGGTAGGTCTCGCATGGAACGCCCGTCAATTATCATCCTGTCCGTCGACGGGGTATATTGGAAGTCCAATTAATCATTTGCTTCTTTTATGCTCGCCGCTTATCGCCGGTATGTGCGAACAAATGATTCGAACGACGGGAATAAAGATTTCTTCTCATCCCTCTTTTGAATATCGCGTGTCACTGTGGACACCGTGCAATCTGACTTGTCGATAATGATAATAGCAACGGCTCCCGTGATTGTTAACGCGAGAACGGAACGCGTAATCAGGGGAATATATTTAAATTCCGATCATTCCAGGGACAAATAAGAACGGGATATTTTTTTATAATCGATTTATCTACGGAAATCCAATTAATCTCTCGTTTCTATAACGCATCAGATTTATGATGGAATCTTTACAATAAACATAAAATTCTCCTGATTCTAACTCAATTATCAGAAATCAAATAATTTTGTTATAATCAGACTCTAAACAGAATTGACCTTTCATTAACCTTTCGTTAATTGATATCTTGAACTCCTTTAGTTTCAAGAAGTAGAAACTATTCGAGAACAGCTCGTGAAATGATAAAAATGTTTTATTCTTTCCACAATTCTCAAAAAGATACCATATTTCTCCGAGGAACTAGTAAATACATTGATAACTCTGCCTAACGATTGAATTTCGTAGGCGAATTCGTTATATTTAGAAGCCATACAAATTTCCAAGCACAATAATGTATCATTCAACAGAGACTAAAAGTTCAAAATTCTTCATAACGATTGCCCTACTGTTCCTCATACATTCAATACATCCAAAAAACTTCAGTTCGTTCGACGCGTCGCTAAGAAAATTAATTGTCAAATCGACGGAAAAAATGCTGTCAGCCGAATTCGGGCGACACGGCAGTTAAACTGTTAAAGAGGCGTTCAACCGTCGGCAATACGCAGTCGCGGTACGAAACAAGGTTGAACGGCGAATAATTCGCGTAAACGGGCAGCTGCGGGTGTACCGATTAAAAGCTGATTTAGATTTTCGTGTGTAACCGGCTGCCTAGGATAAACGTTAAGGGACGATACCGTGACGCGGAACGATTCTCGCCGATGAAACGGAACGAAGTTTGCTTAATGGATCTAACTAAACGGGGCTCGGCCTGTTCCGGTGTGCGATTCATCGGTTCGATTTTCCGCGGGGCAACGAATTTTTGCCTGTGGCGAGTGTATTGAAATCCGGCAGAGACTCTGCCAGAGAAAACGAGAAAGAAACCGAGTATATACGTGTTTGTATGTGTGTGTGTGTAAGAGAGAGAGAGGTCGCATCGCAATTTTCTAACAATGAAACACGGCGGGCAAGCTATGAATAGCTCGCTGCGGCAGCCGGCAACAATCACTCGTCGATTCGAAATTAGCGTGTCAATATCATCTTTCGTCGGCTGGCATTGTGTCCGGTTGAAATACAAGCCCGCTAATAGGCCGAGATAATGCGGCCTGGTATGTGACTGATAGCAACCGGAGAACGGTTTTGAATCGCGGATGCTGCATGCGCATCTGCGTCTTAACCCTTTCAGGACGAATGTCGACGGTTTGCTGGGATCAAATGTTCATGTTTCGAGTGTTCTGTTGGAAATGAAGGATTTAATTAGGGAAGGATTCGTAGGGAGTTTCGTTTTGTGTGTTGTTTAATGGTGAAATTGCTAGATGGTCGGAATGACGTATTTTTGATTCCTGATGAATTTTATGTGGTAATTGTCTTCGTTTTGTCTGTTGTTTAATGGTCAAACTGCTAGATGGTCGAAATGACCTATTTTTGATTCCTGATGAATTTTATATAGCAATTGTCTTCGTTTTGTTTGTGTTCTCTTGTTTACTGGTTTATTATTGTGATTACGTAGGTGTGTAAAATGGAGATATGCAATTAATTCTATCTTCTGTGTGGTGGATGTGTTTTTAACCTCAGAAAACATTGATAGCAACCGGAGAACGGTTTTGAATCGCGGATGCTGCATTCGCATCTGCGTCTTAACCCTTTCAGGACGAATGTCGACGGTTTGCTGGGATCAAATGTTCATGTTTGGAGTGTTGTGTTGGAAATGAAGGATTTAATTAGTGAAGGATTCGTAGGGAGTTTCGTTTTGTCTGTTGTTTAATGGTGAAACTAGTAGATGGGTTGAAATGACCTATTTTTGATTCTTGATGAGCTTTATTTGGTGATTGTCTTCGTTTTGTTTGTGTTCCCTTGTTTACTGCTTTATTTTTGTGATTACGTAGGTGTGTAAAATGGAGATATGCAATTAATTCTATCTTCTGTGCGGTAGATGTGTTTTTAAGAGGCGTTTAACGCTGGAATTACCTTAGCCGTCAAAATGGCTCATTTCTGACGTCTTTTTGCAATTAGGAAGGTAACAGATGTTTCTCTGGGAATTATTAAAGAAGTTAATTCAACACCACGCGAACTGAAATGTAGATCAATTAAAGTCTCAACAGATGCACTGTTAGAGATTTTATAGAGGAATTTTGAAAAGTCGATTCAACTGCTCGGTAGTTTCAATATTAAATATTATAATTTCGTAACTTTATAATATTATAATAATTTTATAATTTTAAGTTTAATTTAATAGAGATGCTACAGGAATTCTCGAGTTCCTCGGCTGAGAAATTGCACAAATAATAAATTATTAAAGTTCATTCAATACCAGTCGAATTGAAATGTAAATCTATTAAAGTCTCAATAAATGCACTCTTGGTGATTCTATAGAGGAATTTGGAAAAGTCGATTCAACTGCTCGGTAGTTTCAGTATTAAATATTATAATTTCGTAATTTTATAATTTTAAATTAAATTTAATAGAGAAGCTACATGAATTCTCGAGTTTCTCCTCAGCTGAGAAATTGCACAAATAATAAATTACTGAAGTTCATTCAATACCAGTCGAATTGAAATGTAAATCTATTAAAGTCTCAACAGATGCACTCTCGGAGATTCTATACAGGAATTTTGAAAAGTCGATTCAACTGCTCGGTAGTTTCAGTATTAAATATTATAATTTCTTTATCAAACAGAAGCTCCGATTCTCAGTCTATCTACAGTGTAGAGACGTTACAGGAATTCTCGAGTTCCTCAGCTGAGAAATTGCACAAATAATAAATTACTAAAGTTCATTCAATACCAGTCGAATTGAAATGTAAATCTATTAAAGTCTCAACAGATGCACTCTTGGAGATTTTATAGAGGAATTTGGAAAACTCAATTTCACTGTTCGGTGGTTTCAGTGTCGAAACACGTAACTTCTAAGGGACCGACTCTGATCAGTCCCCGAGCAAATGAGAAAGGGGCGCGAGCGGATGCTTAACGCGACACACGGAAGTAAGGTTCAAAGAAGGTCCGCCGGCTGTTTAAGGGGAATTTCATTGGCGTGGTCGGCCGAAGAGGAAACGGTTCGATGTCCTTTGCGGCCGATTACTCGAAAGGGAAGGGATGGAAACGCGGGAGCACAGGGGACGACGGACCGTCCGTTGACTGAACGCTTTTACCCTGCGCGCGGCGGTGCCGATTTTCAAGTGTAATTTAGCGTGCCCCGTGGCGGGTCGCTGCTCGAAATCCGCAAAGATTACGCTCCATATTCGCTCGGTGTGGTTGCTTGTAAATGCGGCGTGTGCCGGAGAAATACGGGGATACAAAGTGGATTCGGGCTGGACGGAGGAGAGAATTAATCTGTCCTTCGAGGACTGCGGATGTTAGTCCCGATGAGCGATTCAAATTTTTGAGCACAGCGATGGGATGTAGCACTGGGATCGCGACGGGCGAGTTGTTTGATTGTTGGAAATTGAGTGATCGTTGAGTGGAATAGAGCATGAACGTTTTGGGATTTCGGGGGATGGTTTGAATGGTTTTTAACGGTGAGTAGAGTATCCAGATTTTGGGAGTTTAGGGAAAGGTGTGAATGATTATGTGTAAAGTAGAGTAATGAAACTGTAGAATTTTTGGAAAATCTTTGGACGATTGTAAAATAGGTTCGAAATGGAATATTGAGGGAATTGGATTTTAGAGAAGGTCTGAGTGATTTCTTAAGTATAAAATAATGTGTCAAGTTTCTAGGATTTTGGGGAAAGATTTGAATGATTTTTAAGTATGAATATAGTATCCAGATTTTAGGATTTTAGGGAAAAGGTTTGAATGATTGCAGTACAAGTTCAAAATTGAATATCAAAGCTCTTGGATTTTGGAAAAAACGTCTGAGTGATTCCTTAAGTATAAAATCAGGTATCAAGTTTCTAGAATTTCGGGTAAAAGGTTTGAATGATTTTTCAGTATGAATATAGTATCCAAATTTTAGGATTTTAGGAGAAAGGTTTGCATAATTCTTAAGTGTAAATGAAGTATTAAAATTATAGGATTTTGGTAAAAAGGTTTGAATGACTGCAATACAAGTTCAAAATGGAATATCAAAGATCTTGGTTTTTGGAAAAAACGTCTGAGTGATTCCGTAAGTATAAAATAGAGTACCGATATTCTAGGATTTTAGGAGCAAAAGGTTTGAGCGATTGTTAATTATAAAATATAATATCAGGTCTTTAAGATCTTCGAAACAAAGAGATCGAACTGGAAGATGATCAACTGATGAATCGCGATTTAATCTCTACGATTGCCATTAAGCTCCTCCACTTCCCCCAGTCCTCTGACGCTTCTTAAAGAATCTTAAAGGATCCAGAGGATCCTGATCCTCTAAAGCTTTCCACGGACCAGCTGAAATGAAAATTGAACCTAGATTCCTAGTAATTTCCATTACTCACCCCTAGGTGTCCTCGTGTCGGGCAACGTGAGCCACAGAGGGAACAAAATGGGCGCAACCAGAATGTACGTTAGCCTCTTCTTGGGACTGCTGGGCCAGCCCATGTCCAAGGCCTCTGGAGGTTCATCCTCCTCTCCCTGCAATCAGTTCATTCGTTAACACACAATCAACTATGATCTCAGTATATTTCACGTATTTTCTTATAACAATTTTTTATTTTATATTTTATTATATTTTATTTTAATGTATCCAGTTTATTCCTTATTTGTCCAAAGGATAAATTTTCATTCTTTGCACACTGGTGATGTCTTAAATCCTTGCACTATGATTTTTTCTATAACTGTACTCAACAGATATTTTTGTTCGTAATTTATTAGATAAAGAGTTCTACGCTGATTCTGTATTTATGCTCACTCTGAAGCAATTAATATAGAAAAATAATATTCAATTCTAATACAGATGTTGTTTTCCTCAATAGGAAAATAATATTCGATCATAATGCAAACATTATTCGTCTCAATAGAAAGATGATATTAGATTTTAATAAAATTCCAATTTCAACAGAAACATAGCTTCTCTATACAAAAATAATCAATCCAAATGCAAATATCATTCGTCAATTTCAATAAAATTCCAATTCTACCAGAAACATCACTTTCCCCAATACAATAATTACTAAAAATAATATTCCATTATAACAAAAATATTCGCTTCAATAGAAAAACAATATCCTATCGAAATAATTTGGCATTGAAAGAAGCAGTACCATTTCGATTTTAAGATGACGTGTATACTCGTCTACACAGTTAACTGGTTAATTACTCAAATAGCAAGGGACAGGTAGATAATTTCCTTTTTCTCTGTTATTGAGATATTTAACATAATTACTCAAATAGCAAGGGATAGGTGCATAATCTCCTTCTTCTCTATTATTGAGATATTTAAATAACTTAATTACTCAAATAACAAGGGATAGGTATATAATTTCCTTTTTCTCTGTTATTGAGATATTTAACATAATTACTCAAATAGCAAGGGATAGGTACATAGTTCCCTTTCTCTATTATCGAGATATTTAAATAACTTAATTGCTCAAATAGCAAGGGATAGGTACATAATCCTCTTCTTCCCTGTTACCGAGACATTTAAATAACTTAATCACTTAAAAACTCCGCTCGCGACGAAGAAACAAAGGACAAGAGACGCCGCTTGTTTCTCTCTAGTTAGCACATCCCCTAAATCCGTTCGGTGTGTGCCTGCTCGAACGGGATTAACCGCGCCCCGGGAGTTTTATCATCCGCGACACACTCGGCCCGTGAGCACAATGCAGCCACGGCCAGCGGAGACACGCCTCTGAAAACCGCTGGCACCCCCGGCAAAGGCACAAAGCAAGTCCTTATTCATCCTCGGCTAACCGCGGCACAATGGCCTTCCAGGTGTTTGAATTTCCCCGGTTGAAAATCGTTCCGGCCGGCCGTAATTGTTGCGGAACGCAACACCGGCCGACCACCTCCGACAAACTCGCAGCGATCATTTCGGGGATCAGTCTGCTCCTGCGGCTAGCATTGCGGCTGTCCGACTATGAAGGGACTTTTCTACTGGTGGCTAGCTCTTCGTAGAATCGCATCTTCCGATTCTATTACTCGAACGATATCGTTGAGTTATTCAACCTCGTTTCAATTGATATTTGTCGTTAGGCTTAGGCTTTTGGGAATTGGAAAATATTGAGAGAATCTACATTTTGTTTATGTGTTAATATTGATTATGAAAGGATGGCTTTTAGTTTCTTAAGGTTCTTCGTTTATCTGAGCTTTTGCTGTTGTGAAGCTAGCGTATTGTGAAGAATGTTATTTCGGGGTTATCAATGTTATGGAGAATAATATTGTATTATTAAATAATATTTAATAAGAATTTTAATATTTAAATTAGAATTGTTGTTTGATACTGTTGTGTAGTATGTGGATGGATTAGGGAATATAATAGAGTGAAATGTTTGATTAAATTCTGTGGAAACGTGAATCTTTTCGATATCCATGGTTTAATTATAGGTCGGAGAGAGGGAGAATGAGAATGGGAACAGAGGAGATCGAAAACGAAGTGAAAATTGATCGATAAAGCTCGACCTTGGGTAGAGGAGGCGGAGGGCGGCACATTAAAAAATGCGGAACTCGTAAAACTCATCGGCCGCCGGTGATTTCGGTTCGATTATTCGCGGCAGCGGGAGCGAGACCGAGATAGCTGGTCTCCGGTGCAACGACGATGCCGGGTAGTAGACAGAATTGACCCAGATTCCCGGCGTATTCAAAATGAAAAGGTCTTCTCACTCGTTTAGGACAAAGAGGGAGGTTCGAGGATCCATCGCGATTCCGCGGCGGTAGCCTAATATCGGCCGAAAAGATGGCACGTGGCTAATTTCGACGCTCGCGGGAACCGATCCAATCCGTTACACGGACGTCCGACGCTTCCTTTCAAACTGTCGACGGTGATCAAGGGTCGTGCCTCGTCGACCGGGCTCGTGGAAATCGTTCGGATATCGATTCTTCCGAGTCCCGACGATAGGTTCTCGTCTGCTTTTAGTCGAAATTAAATGCGAGGGGAGGGTCCTTCGCGAATGAGAAATTTAATACTGAAAATTTCGATGTTTCAAAGTTTGAAGGTTTCGGAAATTTGAGGTTCGAATAGTTGAAGGCTTGGGTAGTTGAAGGATTGAAAAATTGAAGGCTTGGGAGATTGTAGGTTTGAAAAGTTGGAGATTTGGGGATTGTGGATTTGGGAAGTTGGAGGTT